CATAGGCAGGGTGTGCGGGCGCTGTGTCCCTGCTCACAGGCTCAGAGGCGTGTGTTGGCAGAGGACGGGGAGTCGGCTGTGGTGGCAGACGCCCCACCAGCTGTGGGTGGGCTGGGCCCCAGGCTGGCTCTTTCTTGTCTCTGCCCGCCATGCCCCGTGTTCCGCTGGCTGAGAGTGGGCGGCTGGAGGTGTGTGCCTTGTGGGGACGGTGGCTTGTGGCAGGGGTGAGGAGGATCTCTGGAGCAGCACGTCCTCTCCATGGAGCACATTCTCTGCACTGTCTGGGGTGGGTTTTGTTTCTGAGTGTCTGCGGACAGGTTGGGATGTCTACTGCCTTTCTTGCCGCGGGACTGACCAGAGAGCACTTAACGATGGAATTCTAAGTATTGGACCGAGGGCTGCTGAGAATTCTTTGGATGTGGGGTTGGTGGGGCACCCATGTACTGGGGATGAATCGGGGTCATCTGGGTGGCTATGGTCAAAGAAGTGACAGACCTATGGGTGCAAACCGCAGCCGGGCTTCATCCTGTGTCTTCCGCTGAACCTGGGCTGTAGTCCCTCAGAGATGGGGCGGGCTTGGCCATAGGAGTCCGAGTAAGCAGGGAAGGGGTTTGCCTTGTGCCTGCAGGTGCTTGGGGCGTGGCTCTCCCTTGACCATGCCTCTGCTTTGATTCTGACTTAGTGATCTGGGTCCTGCCCCTCCCCCTGCAGTGGGCGGTCAGGGTCATCTGTGTCTCTAAAAAACGTGGTCCTCAGATGCTGGCGTTGTTCAAGGTTATGCGTTTGGAGTCTTTGGAAACAGGGCGCGTGCTATATTTCTGGGGGAGCCCAAATAGCACAGAGCCAGCTGGCAGCCCCTCTCCTCCCTCCTGCCGTGCAAAGCTTTTAAATTGTCTAGGGTCTCGATATGCTTATAGTTCTGAGTTTGTCTCTAGTTCTCTACTGTCCTCCACTGCCCTGACCCTGACCTTGTGAAGGTGTGCAGGGGCCGTCCCCGATGGCCATTGCCCTCTCCAGACTGTCCGGGTTGGCCTTGCCGGGACCAGGGTTGGCCTTGTCCAGAGCGGCGGCAGCAGGCTCACTGGGGCTGGCCCCTATTGACCCGAGAGCGTGGGGCCTGCGCCGTGGCTGCTTCTGTTCCGGGTAGTCTGGACTTCTGAAGGCTCAGCCTCATGACGGATGAATGGCAGAGCAGTAGTGGGATGGGGTGCAGGGCTGGGGGGCGGTCAAACACAGGCTCTGCGAGCAGGTGCTGGTCTGGTCATCCCATTCCGGGTTCCGAAGGGCTGACACCTGCCCCCTCCCCCCCCGCCCCGTGAGATACAATCTCCTGTTAGGCTGATAAGAAAGGTGCTAACAAGCTCTGAGCACCTGCTGTGTGGGCCTTTCTCAGGCTGGCCAGGGAACAGTGTGTTCTCCAGGCTCAGGGACGCTCTCCTACGTGGTCCCCAGGAGTGGAGGGGTGGCTGCCCCATCAGGGAGAGGCTCGTTCTGGCTGGACAGGAAGAGAAGTACAGGGAAGCCCAGGGCCGCTGCTTCCTGTGAGAGCCCCTGGTGAGAGTGAGGGCAGGTGTGCGTGCAAGGCTGGGCCGCAGCTTCAGGGGACACCCTGGTGGCCTCCTCCAGTGCGCCCCTTGCCCAGGGCCCCACCCCAGCCTGGGCCCCTCCTGTGTTGGCTGCTTCTCTGTGCTCCCCAGTGTTCCATCCCAGCTGGGACCTCACTGCCCCCCATCCAGCCCCTCCCTCCCATCCCCCACCTGCCAGAGAACAAGGGTAGGTTGCTTGGAGGGCCTGCTGGCCCATAGAAATGAGTCGCTGCTGACCCCTGGCGTCAGGAATGCCCACCTGCAGGAATTGCTAGAACCAGCGGGTGAGCAGGCAGCACGGGGATGGCTGGTGGGATGTGCAGGGCAGGGGCGGTGGTGACCGGGGTGTGGGGCTGCACATCAGACTCTGGGGGGATGGCCAGTTAGGAGTAGATGGGATCGGGTGGTGACCTCGAATGTGGACCGTGTGCTGTGTGTGCCAAGGAGCTGTTGCTGGGCACCACCTGGTCAAAGCTGGCTCTAGGGAGATGTGGTTGGTGCAGTGTGGAGGGCAGCCGAAGGCAGGAGACTGGCAGAAGAACGGGCTCAGGATCAGGAAGGTGTCCTGGGTGTGGACAGGTGGGGGTGGGGCTTGCTCACCCCATGACCTTTCATTCCCTCATGCCATCAGTGACCCGAGTGCCCCGCCCAGTGCCAGGGGCCAGGTGCGCAGGAGGCACTGGTCAAGGCAGGCGAGGCCCATGGGGAAGGCGTGACAGGGGTCCCAAGCGTGACTCCTGTTGTGGTGTCATGGTGGAGGGTCAGGGAAGGTCCCTAGGCCGAGAGCTACGTGCCGTGAAGGGCAGCCCTTCCCGGGGAGCGGATCCTGGCGGCCAGGGTGGCGTGGAGCAGCGTTGAGCGGCATGGTGGGCGAGCAGGGCTCGGAGCCCACCTCTGTGCGGCGGGACTCCCGAGAGCCCGAAGCGGGGTGCGAGGCCAGCCCAGGAGCACAGCAGTGGGGAAGAGCCGTGCTGGCTGGGCAGTGGCCAGGCCACGGGTCAGGGAGAAGCGGCCACTGTCCCCAGCGGTAGAACCTATCAGACCCGCTGATAATGTTTGGAAGTGGGGGTTGAGGGAGGACAAAGGCAAAGTCACAGACCTGGGAGCCAGGTGCAGGTGGCGGATGGGGGAAGGTGCGCTTGGGCAATTCAAGAGCTGCTTCTGAAAGGGAGGCGTGAGTGGGTGAGGGTGGCACACATCACTGGCTTGAGCAAAGGTTGCTGGCAGTGACCGTGTTTGCGCAGAAGCAGGGGAAGACGGGTGGGGCTCTGGAGGGACAGGTAGGTCAGGTGCTCAGAAGAGGCTGCGCTAGAGAGAGATGGAGGGCACTGAAATCCTGTGCGACCCCCTCCCCCCGGGAGACTGTGCAGGGAGAGCCTGCACATTAGAACTGGGTGGCCCCCGGGGACACTGCTGGACCTCGGGGATCTTTCTTTCACTTTCTCATTGTTAAGTGTTAGCAACTTGCCTGCACGCGATGTCTTTGCAGGGCCCCCCAGGGGAGTGTGAAGGTGACATTCAGGAAGCCCGGAAGAACCCACAGAGGGACATGCAGTCCCAGCCACAGCCCTCCCGTTCACACCCTGCACGCCTGCCTCCCCCATCCCACCCAGGCTGTGTTGGGTTTCTCCCCTTTCAGCATCTGTTGCTCATTAGGAGCCATCTCTCTCATGTTCCCCAGCACCCCTTTAAAGATTTTATTTTACAATTTATACACAGTAAAATTCACTCTGCATTAGGTTTTTTTTTTTAAAGATTTTATTTATTTATTTGAGAGAGAGAGAGAGAGAGAGAGCGCGCATGAAAGGGGGGAGGGTCAGAGGGAGAAGCAGACTCCCCGCTGAGCAGGGAGTCCGATGTGGGACTCGATCCCAGGACTCCAGGATCATGACCTGAGCCGAAGGCAGTCGCTTAACCAACTGAGCCACCCAGGCGCCCTGCATTAGGTTTTTTAATAACAGTGTGCGCGGACATCGGTAATGTCTGCTTTCATCCGCTGGTCTGACTCAGAGGCAAAGCCTCTGGAACCCTCCATGCAAATTCATGCGGAACAATGCAAACAAGGAGCAGGGCTGGGGGTCTGAGGGCTTCCTCTGCCCCAAGCCTGGGTGGCAGAGGCCAGGCATCTTGGAGGGAGGCAGCGTGGCTCCCCTGGGACCCTGCCTCCACTGACTTCCCCAGAGCGGGCCCTGGGAGGGTGTGGGAGCCCTGCCTGCAGTGCCTGGGCGGAGCAGCCCTGTCTGGTCAGGCCCAGTGAGGGATGTGGGGGGTGTGGGTGGTGGTGGTGTGTGTTCTCATGTCAGACGGGCAGGGGACTGTGGATGACCCGTGGCTGATCTTGTCCAAACATGGTCTCCGTAGCCCCACAAGGGCTGGGTGGGAGAGACACGTGCCTTGAGCAAGGAGAGTGAGCCTGAGTGGATGGCGGGAAGCACTTCTATTACCTTGAGACAGGGAAAGATCAAAGGTCAGAGTTCACTTCCATTCCCCCATAGGCTTCAGTGTAAAAGTGTTTGTAAGAAACTCTGCTCCTTCAAGCAAAGTTGGAAAAGTGGATGAGTGTTTTCTAGCAGGGTGACAAGACCATGGCTGGATTCTGCTTGGGTGTGGTTGCCTGGGTCCCGCGGTGGCCCAGGTACAGTTAGGCAGACTGGGGTGGGGGTGGCCCCCATCCCTCACACCCACTGTAGCCCCCACAGGTGCCACGCTACACCCAGCTCAGGATTTGGTTCCCACTAGCTCCAGGGTACGCTGTGGGGCCTGATGCCTCCTCCCTTGCCCACCGTGTCCCCTGGTGCCTGTCGGCTGTCTCACTGTCCCTTCCCTCCCCACCAGCCTTGGCAAGCACAGGCCTTCGCGGTCCCCTGTTGGCTGGCCAGTAGGAAGTCCTTCCCTTTGGTATCTGGTGGCCAACCCAGAACTTCTGGTAGCATCCTGGAGGACAGCAGCAGAGGGCCCAGAAGGGCAGTGCCTGCTCCCCAATGACCCACGTGGGTCCAGAGCAGCCTGCAAGGCAGCGATTACCAGTGTGTGCTGTGGCATCAGACTGACCGGGGGTTCGGTCCAGCTCTAGGGCCACTGACCACGTAACCCTGGCCGTGGCCCATGTGTACGCTCCCGACGGCGGTGGCAGTGTCGGCGGCGGCTGCGTCGAGCCTCTCGGTGCCCAGGGCACAGCCAGAGCCCGAAGGGCGGCCCTGTGTGTGCCCCCACCCACCGGGCCCCCGTGCTCAGAGAACTAGGCCGCTGCACTACTGTGTTCATCAAACTGAACTTCTTTATTAAGTGCCAAGGGTCCGGGCGGGCGCTGTCCCCCGCAGCCCCTCTGCCGAGACCTGCGCTCGGCGCGCCCCCGCTCGGGCCCGGGCTGCAGCGGGGGCGCCAGGCGCGCTCCGGCTGTAGTGTGGCAGCCGCTCACTTGACGTGCTCGGCCGCGTGCGAGGAGCAGTAATACTTCTTGTGGGCGATGAAGGTGGACAGGCTGCTGAACTTGATGTTACACAGGCGGCAGTACCGGTGGCTGCCGGGAGGCGCGGGCGCCGGCGCCCCCTTGCCGGGGGTCTGGACGCCCTTGTCCGAGTGGGAAGGGGGCGTCGGCGGGGGCGGCAGCACCGCCTCGGGGCTCGGGGACGGCGGCGGGCCGGGCCGGGGGCTGC